TGACACTTTATTTTTCCTTATTTTTTTGTTTTTATTTTCTTAAATTCCTCATCACTAGGTTCATTATTGTTTATGTTTGGAGACGATCTTTGTCATCGTTGGATAGATATTGGTATGTGTTCTCTTTATGTGGACATTTTAGGTTTAGCCTGAACAGGGTTGAAATGCAAATCAAAGTGTTTTTTTTTTTTTTTTTGACAACAAGACATTTTCTCTGTTGGAGTTTTCATTGTATGATATTATCGTGTTTATTCGTTTTTCTCCATAAATTTGCACATTGTCTATACTGTTTGACTTTAGTAATTTAATTCACAAATTCCCGGAAATTCTGGTTCCTGAAATAAAGTTTAAAAAATTTCTTTGTTAATTCTTTGGTATCTCCCCTTCCATTTGCCTCTTCTGTTTTTTTTATTGTATGAGTTTTTCGACCCAAGGTTCTTGTACATGGGTGTATATTTTCTGCTTCGCGCTCTTCTTGTGATTGTCTCACGTGATTCAGGTAACAATGAGATGACAACATTATTAAATTCCTGTAACTATTGATCTAGATTTACTGACATAAGTTTGGCCTGTAATTTATTACTAAATTATAGAAAGAAATACCCTTTCACTTTTAAGATTTTGAATGTTATACCTCGTTTATGTTGGCGGAAGCGAGTTATTTTTTTGGCTGGTGTTTTCAGTTTACTTACAAGTAATCTTTGATTCAAAGTAGAAGTTGTATACTCTGTCAAAAGAAAAGTAGACAATATATGCTGCATCTTCTGGAAGATTAACGTGGAAATAAACGAAAAAAGGAAAATAAGCAAAGAACTACATTAAATCGAAAAAAATAAACGGACATTCGTTGGAAATAGTCATGTTTTTATAAAAATAACTTTTATCAATTATTCTTAAAACACTTCCTCTGCATTGTTGCAGCCTGCGCATCAAAATGAGATATTATTCTCGTATTAATTGTATGAGCCAAGACATAAGAGAGCGTTTGAAGATTTTTTTTTCCCGCAGTAGGTTGCCATTTCTTTCTGGAGAAGACTGGTTGCCAACCACAGTTATCTATCTATTATTCCTCTTGATTCCTTGGGGAACATAGGGCTGCAACAACACCTCTCCAACGAACGCAGTTCCGGTCTATCCTCTTCAGCTCGGCACATGCGTGCCGGCTGCTTTCACCTCTGCGTCAACACTTCCGCGCAAAGTCTGTTTCGGTTGACATACTTTTCGCGTCCGTTGCCTGCCTGGTGACACATGTGGATTGTGTGGCCGATCGATTCCCATTTCCGTTTCTTGATGTCAATCTCGATTGGGTCTTTTTCTGGTTCTGTCCTACAGTTGGTCGTTGGAGACAACTTCCGGCCACCTGATATTGGTAAATGTCTGAAGTTTGTGGTTGTTGGTCTTGGTTACCCGCCAGGCTTCTGAGCCCTAAAGTAGGGCCGACTTGACGTTGGAGTTGAAGATCTGGATATTGATTGTAAAATGAGCGGGCAGTTGGTTTCAAGATTGGCCTGCGGTTATAAAACCCAGTTTATCCTACTATTTAATCCAAGCTTAAAGGTAGTCATGATAAATTTTTACATTATTTCCCAAGTGATTTGTGCGTAAGTGAATGTAACGTGAAAACGCTACGTTTTATAAATTACTCAAAAAGAGAAAAGTAATGTATCCTAATACGTATATTTTGTTAGCTGTGCCATTCAATGAAAAAAATCATTAGTTTCTTAATTTTAGCTCAAACACAATAAAATCTCAGTCAACTTGATAATCCTGAAGAATATTTCATCGATAATTCTCCATATTTGTTATGACGATGATAACATCGTTCTTTGTTCATTAGAATTATAATTTCTGTCAGTAATATATGTGAATATATAGTGAAAATCTGATTACTTTTTACAGATTGTTTAACTAATCTTTCAAAATATTTATCTACTATACTGACATTTTCCAATTATTTTACTATTTTTTTATTTTTTTTTTTAAATTCAAATTTCAAACACAAAGAATTATTTTATATAATGAAGAAATGATTATATACCAAGTTATTTTTTAAAAAATCAAAAGAATTGATGAAAAGTAATCAATCATTATATGTAAACATATAGTTTCGCCAAAGTTTATCTATTTCTTTTTGTAACTCGATCGTACAGAAATCATCTTGTTGAAACGTATGCTTCATTAAATAGCGATTAGTGATTTGTAAAGGTTTGCTTTCTAGAAACAGAATAACTGCAGAAAGTTATTGTTTATTTATTCATATTTTAAAACTGAAAATGTTCAAGAACGACAAATGAAGACTTCATCTTTATGGCTATAGATTAAGTTCAAATGTAGATTCGATTTAAGATTTTTCATCTACTGACCTTAGTTTTAGTTCCAAAGCTTGTCCTAAACCAGGGACTATCTGTATCTAGGTGCGGAGTTTCGACACTGTCGAAACTGTAAATGTCTGTAAATACCAAGGCAAAAATAAGATGAAAACATTTTCGTATACAAATTCTGTGCTTTAAATATGCTTATATTTATAAAGAGAATTGTTTCTATTAAAATGCCTTAAGTACAAATCAACTTTGCATGTAGCTTTCGCTAAAAAATAAACATTTAAAAATGTATTCCGAACATTCACATTATAGTTGTTTAGACTTTGTTTCCAGACGTTTTGGACTCGAAGTTATGGAATTCTTTGCGAATTACGCGCAATGTATCTTTTTCTTGTTCAGCTAACGCCGATATGTCCCGACTTATTGGCAGTTAATTCATTACTCAGCGTGCATCTTTCTCTTGTATTTTTTCTTCTTTTTTTTTTTCGAGTTTTGTCTATTTATCATTACAACCCATCATATCTCTTCATTTTATTCCCAACTTTCCACGAGCGTTTATTAATGTTCATTTCTTTGAATACTAATTTCTCGCCTTATCATAATATTAATCAAGATAGTTTTCAGTGCTGGTCATATTAAATCTCTAATCAGCGCAGTCAGCATCATTGTTTATCTACACATTTTGTTCTTTCGTTTTTATTTTCTTTCACATTGCTTTTTTTTGCCACACTTCAACATCCACATTTTCCTCATTTTTTATGGAATTATGTCTTTTTCGTTTTTCTAAATTTTCTCATTTCTTTTCCTCTCGATTGAACTCGCCTTTTTCTCTTTGAGTTTTTTTTTTCTTTTAGTGTTTTTGTGCCTAATCTTTCTGCATTTACAACTTCTTCCTTTTTTTTCCCTCTTCACACAAAATTATTTTCTTGTAATTTGTTGTAAAATTTGCTTTTCTTTTGTCGTTTAGTCATTATCATGATTTCATCTTTCCAAACTTTCTTGTTCCCTTTTTTTCATCCCCCCCGCCACTTCTTCATTCATCATCTTCCTCCTTTAGGTTATCGTTATCTTTTTATTTTAAATCCTCTTCCTTTTTGTACATATTATTCCCATCTTCCCATTCGACCATTCTCTCTTCTCCCACCATTTTTTCTTTCTTTCTTTCTTTCTTTCTTTCTTTCTTTCTTTCTTTCTTTCTTTCTTTCACCTTTTTATTATTATTTTTATTATTATTATTATTATCATTATTATTATTATTGATTTAGGTATATTTTAAATAGTTATTCTCCCGGTTTTTCTCAAATCCCAATCCAATTTCTCTTTTTTTCCCACTTGTGAGTATTTAAAAATGTTATTCTGAATTTTTCTGCAAAAACTCCTCGCTTTATTTTATTCCTCTTTTATTACATTTATTTCTTATTTTCTATGTTAGCTTATTTTCTTTCTTAGATTATTTTCTATGTTAGCTTATTTTCCATATTAGCTTCTTTTCTATGTTAGTTTAGTTTTACACAATGTCAAATTAAAGTAAATGAAGCTTCAAAGACACCCGGAAAACTCTTCAATTCGCTAATGCCTACAAACGTGTCAATTCAATATTTGAAGACCTTGATTTTCATTCAGATTCGAACACCTATTAATGGCACGGTTAATTAGTACACAACTGATGTCATGTTGTGGCAAATCTGTTGTCGCTGTTGGTAACATAGATGGAATTTGTTATATACTCTTGGCGCCAAAATTTGGCTCTTAT